AGGATCTTCCAACAGTGCAAAAGTAAACACCACAATTTAAAATCATCCTCAGCATGGTCTACAAAAATGAAAATCTTGTCAGGCCATCTATTCCAATCAATCACTCTCTTATCAATCTCAGAAATCTGCTTCAATAAAGGAAGTAGACATGTATAGGCTTTCTTCCCTGCTCATGTTAATGCTGTACAAATGATCCTTCTGGGTGCTGAATCCTGTGACATCTAAGGGATGATTCTGCTCAAAGTCATATCTAAGGGTTTCCCCTCCTGTGCTTACACATACTCAACAGGTTTCCACGGACCTGTTCCTAGCAACGAAAGGCATATAATAATCATTAAGGAAGTATTTTCTTGAGGCACTTATCTTCCTGATTTTTCTAACAGAATGGAAAGAGAACAACCACACCCTCTGTGCTGTGCTAAAGATGGAATCCATGTCTCACACATGCTCCACAAGCCCTCCGCCACTGAACCACACCCCAGCCCATCTCCAAGCACTTCTTACCCTTGCCAAATAGACTTGACCATGCAGATTTCACCTTTCCCTAATGAATGGAGAGTTTCCAGCATGTCTTTGCCATGTGCCATGAGTGGGTTGGTATGTGCCTGCAGGCCATTAGCCCATGTGCTGCTGCTGTGAGCATGCACTCCACACGTGTGCCTTTCCAGAGCTTAACAAAGAAGGCATGCAAGTTTGGTTTTAGAGTTTTCCTCCCTGTCTGCTTTTGCCTCTGGGTTTGCTGCCTACTCAGCAAATCAAAAGGTATAATCAATTATTTAAAAATAATCCAGAGGCCAAGAAAGTACAACAGTACCTAAGGGAAACGGACAGAAAGTGAGGAGAATAAACTCCGGCACTTACAAGCGGCCTGGAGAGATAAAACCCCAGGGAAATGCTGGTAAGGTGGCCACCTGCCTAGTTCAGGTCATTTCAGAGCAGAAAATGCCTGTCAACTGCAAGATGCCATGTGGACGGCTGTGGCAACGTATGCTTCCTTGCCTGTGCTACAGCGCTTCTGCTACAGCTGGAGGCTCCAAGGCAAGGGCTGAAGATCTTTTTGAGACCCAAATATAGAAAAGCATCGAGAATAAATGTGGAAGTCTATTCAGCATGACAAAGTCATTTCAAACTAAAACTACACCTTAAAAAGTTGGAAACTCCAAAACTTTAAAAATACTAGCTGACATGGAAAAATGCACACCCAGTCCAACACATGAGTGCTGAAAATGAATTGTATGTTATATGCATACAATACAGACAACATTTTCCAGAACGGCAGGTGTCGTAGTGTCCAAGATTTGGGACAAGACTGGCCATTCCTTGCAAATTGTTGCTACTGTGTGCAGGTTTCTCAGTTGCCTTTGATTAGCTTCGATCTTAACTCTGAGTTCCAGATCTTTAGTAAGGTATATTCACTGCCTAAGGAAGTAGAGGGACGTTTCATCGGTTGTTTTAACCTGATTGTTGATTCATTTAGTGTGCTAGAGAAATGTTCGTATGTCATCAATTTGCAAACCAACAGCGTCTATGCACACAAAAGCTATCCATGTCTCTTCACTCATGTCTAATATCAAGATTTTCAGTATGTTTTGATACTGTTATAAAACAGTCCTATGCATTTGATGAAGTGTCTATGTATCTCTTTAAGATTTGGTCAGCCATTCAAGTAAGTATTAATCTCTATCTCTGGATCTAGAGGAGACGAAGCTATGCTGTTTCAGTGACTAAGTCCCTAAGAAGCTGCTAAAGGTTCCTCGATGCTGGCTCACTGTGATTAAGAATGTTTTGATGACGGATGCTCCAGAAACGACTGCCTTGATGCCCTTTTCTTCTGCACCGGATCGTCTTGAGAACCGTCAGGCTTAAAAGGCCACACAAGCATGCCTTTCTCCTATTCCAGTGCAATGCATCAGTACATTCTTCATTCTCTAAGGCTTATTAGCACTTCTCAAAAGAAAAAAACAGCATGCTGCCAACCTGGCTGTGGGATCGGATGCAGATGGGAGTAGAGTTGCAAGTCACTGAAAATGGAAACGTCTCATTGTCTGGAATAGGGTGGTAGTGCAACTTGCTTTCAGATGGCTTGCAGCAAGAGCTTTCTGTGTGTAAAATAATAAAACTAATCATGCTTGCTCAACTCCTCCACCATCATAGAGGCTTGAAAGTGCACCCAAACTGCAAGCTAATGCAATCAAAGAAAAACGATGAGCCCTCTTACTGTGGTAGACTAGTCTTCCCTTTTTCAGAGCAACCTGCAATTTTCTGAATACAGGGTCACTTATGATTCAGACTGAGGTGGACAAGAGATCTAGAGCACCATCCCGTCCTCTCCCTTTGTTTTAGGGGCATTCATGGATATTCTTACAAGTTGGTTTACAAATAATCAAGGTTTTCTGTAGCTACCTGGAGCTTCCACTTAAAATGGAAAGATGATGAAGACCGCTCCATTTAGAATCCGCATGTGTTCTGCTGCCTGCTTCAGGTCCAACCATTTCCTCTGAGTCCCAAAGATTCCTGGGAGGGCTTAGTGCACCAAACCTCTGGCAGAGGCCCAGAACAAGATGAACTAATGTGTTATTTGGCCTTGTTTCTTTATGAGGAACAGGAAGGTCTGCTTTGCCAAACCAACATAGGAGAACAGCTGCAGACTACTGACCGCGAACACAGACAATCATGGATGAATTCTCAGGTGAAACAGATTTGCTGTTACATTCTTACCTGGATAGAGTTCAGGCCCAGGCCCTGGCCCTGGCCCTGGGGAGTGTCCCATGGCACCATCAGCATCTCTGGGGGAAGTGGCTGGCTGCAGAGGCTGCACAGCGAGACAGTCGGTGAGGAGATCCGGATGGAGCTCAGCACTAGACCGCAGCTGAAAAGAGAAGAGAGAAGAGATGGAAAAAGCTGGTCCTTAGAACACCTACCTGGAAAAGCCTCGTGCCCCAAAGGTGGAAGCAGTTCAATCCACAGATATTTATCAAGCAGCCGTGGAGAGGCAGGCATGAGTGTGAGAGCATCAACAGAAGGACTGGTTCTCCAGCCTAGAACACCTGGCAGGTGCTTCAGGAAGCAAGTGGCTGCGAGGAGGTTTGACTCCAGACATTGGTAGCCCTACTTCTAAGAACTCAAACCTCCATTTAGTTGCTCAGTCTCTAATCAGAAGTTGTAGTGACGACACAAACTCAGAAAGACTCTGTCCATAGTGTTCCCACTGTAAAGAGCAGGGATACTGGTACACAAGCTATCTGGGAGAAAAGTCAGGGAATCTCCACTGGTGTTTGATGCTTAGAAATTTTACATGAGGGAGACATACTGGAACAAAATTTAAATATAGAAAATGATTAAATTAAACTTCTAACAGCAACAATAATAAACTCCGATGCTATGTCACACAAAATAGGAATGTACATCTTTACTTAGTCACACACAATTAATTTTATATGTGGGTCGCATGTAAAAATTAGACCAAAATAGAGTTAAAATGTAATATAAGTACCACTTTACTTGATTCATTTGATTGCATGTAGGTGTTCCTTTATGCAAGGGCTTGTGCTAGTGTATGCATGCGTGTGTGAGCATCTGTATGTGTGAGAACGTGTGCATGTGTGTCTGTGTCTGTGTGAATGAGAGCATGTGTGTATGTCTGTGTATGAATGTGCATGTGTCTATACATGTATGCAGGCTGAAAAAAAAAGTCTTGGTTTCATCTTCATGGTACCACCGGCCACCTCGAAACAGGGGTTCATTGGCCCACAGCCCACCAATTAGAGTGGACTGGCTGACCAGTGAGACCCAGAAACTCTCCTGTCTCTACCTCAGTACTAGAACTACCAATGTTTAGGCGGCAGTTGAGGGTTGAACCCAAGTCCTCAATGCTTACAAAGCAATCAGTTAGTTTATCAACAGAATCACCCCCAGCTCCAACAGCTTTAGAAACACAAATTTTGTAAATGTACCTTGAATGAAAAATTACAATGGAATGTTTGGTAACATAAATGTATTAACCTAACTGTGTTAAAACATTGTATTATAAAAGTATAAAATGTATTTCTTAGAAATATCGCAAATGTTTATCTTCAGCATTTAAAACTGTATATGAACTGGCTTTCTACAGACATTAAGCCTTTAGATACAGAGCCACAGTATTCTTGTTCTTTGACAAATGTCCCATGGCCCTCTTGACTCCAGGAGGATTTACTGTCTTTACAGAACTCTGACTCTGTGCAAAGTTGAACAACTAAAATACAAACGAGCAATGCTAAGTGCTAGAAAGTGACGCTCAGAAACGAGGTCATGAGGGCACATGGGGGCATGGGGGTCAGGGGTTAGTTTGGGATAGCGGTCTGGGACTGCAGCTTGGGGCTAAAACTGGTAACAAGTCTGAGGAAGAATTGTAGCAAGATGTCCCAGACAGTGGGCGTCAGAGGAGGGGGGGGGGGGGCTGCCTGCCTTGCAAAATGATTGGTGGAATGGTATGGCTGGCACAGTGTTGGGGTGGCGGTGGGACGTGAAGCCCAAGGAACAGAGACAGAAGATGTAAGAGGAACTGGGAAGAAAGAGAACAAAATCCTGCCATGGGCAATTACTACAAACCGCAGCTCCTTTATCAGGGAGCGGGTTGAAAAGGAGAACTAAACACGGCAATGCATACACAGCAATAATTACAGAGGCGGAGGCCATGGCTTCAGGGGGGGCAGGTAAGGGGACATGGGAGGAGTTGGGGTGGAAATGATGCAAATGTGCTTTTCATGTATAAACTTCTCAGTTTTAAAAACGGCAATGCACATGTAACAAGTACATGGCACGATAACCCTAAGGGAACGGGGCAGTAGGCAACAGCTCCCTAGCTGGACTTAAGTGCCACTCAACAAGAGGGATGGCATGCCTGATAGCAGAAATCAAGTGCTGGTGAGGTCACAGATGGAAGAGAACCTGCGACCACCCCTTTGCTAAACCAGCATAATCCCGAACAACCATCTAAACGTTTGTCATTATACCTACAGGTAAGTATAGGCTTCATGTCTCACCAAAGGAACTTCTCTTGGCAACAGACAGAGGCCATCCCGGAAAACCATAACCAACCAAAATGCAGTTGTGGAGCCCAGTCCCAGTGGACACATTACGAAACATCCCTACATCTAAGGCACAGGGAACACTGCGGAAGAGGGCGCAGATCAGGGAGTCTGCTGCGAGACTCTGCTTCTATTAAATCCAGACGACAAGTCTCACCAACATAACTGTATAAACTTGAGCTGAACTAGAGAAACAACAATAAACAAGCCAAAGCGGGTGGCGGAAATTCCCCGAGGCTTCAGCCTGCACAAAGAACTACGGGCAGCTAAGGACTGTGGAGAATGGGTGCAACAGTCTTCTCCAGGGAAGGGCACACCATAAATTTGAAAGAAAAAAAAAAGAGCAAAGAAGGGTATATGGGAATATCTGGGGGGAGGAAAAGGAAAGAAGAAATGACACAATTATAACCGCAACAAAATAGATTTTTGGAAGTGTTTAGTAAAGCTTTTCATTAAGTATTTTATTTTCCAATAAAACAAGCCTAATGTTTAAAAAAAAAAAACTCATTAAACTTGTGGAAGAAAGACCCTAATACTAACTAATCGGGGGCTGGGGAAATGGCTCCGTGGAACTTGTTACTCTTACAGAGAACGTGGGTGCAATTTCTACCACCCACATGGTATGCATACACAATTGTCTGTAACTCTAGTCCCATGGGTTCTAATGCCATCTTCTGACCTCTGTGAGTACCAAGTTCACATGTGGTACAGACAAAACATTCAGACATGCAAGATAAATAAATAAAATATTAAATTTATCAAATCATCTAAAACCCTCACAAAAGTATCTATGGTAGTGATGTCACAGGTAGAAATTCATGTACCTTTTAGTAGGTGATTACGTTTGTATGAAATTTCTAGAGGGCATCAGGGAACATCTTTTTAGACCCATAATCAAAATAATTTGCTTCTTGAATCTGTCCTAAGGAAATTCCCAGAAATATGAAAAACAATGAAAACCCAAAGACCTATGGATGCATTCTTCTAGTGATATATAGCATGAATTATAGGAATACCCAAAATTAGAAAACACTCTTAAATGTCCATACGTTAAGTAACTGGAATACTATGTTCATAATGACGGCAAAACACAATTTTATATACAAAATGTTAAAAATAACATCCAGCTCAGATAAAATGAAATTTCTTCTCATTTTCCAAATACTCTACATTCCAGTGGTGAACTGGAAATGCCACGTGCCAATCTAAGAGTGCTGTGTGCGTCTCTTTACCACAGTTCTTAGACAGATCGCTTGAAACTGGTCCTGGTGAAAATATTTGCACTATGGGAACTGGAAACTGCTCTCCACAAATGTTTCTTCCCTGTAGTTCTGGCTGCTAAGTCTCACGAGACCACTACTGATATGATACGAACTGCACTCTGATCAAACCCGAGGACAGACTGCCTCGGATGGACTACTGATTATTCCCCACAAGTCCACAGCTCAGAGCTAGGTTCCTGGTAAGAAGCAGAGGAGAGCTGGAGGGACTACTCAAAGGTGGAGCCTACTGGGAGCTGGTTAGGCCATGGATGGTGTTGCCCTCAAAACGGATCAAGGTAGATCCTGTGGGACCCGAAGTTAATCTCCCCCCCACCCCCGGCTATTTTATTTTGGTTTTGTTTTTTTTCGAGGAAAATGTGTAGCCCAGGTTGGCCTCGAACTCGTGATCCTCCTGTCTCTGCCTCCTTCAGCAAATCCTACCAGCGTGCACCACCACAACCGGCCCGAGGTTAATCTTCAAGACAATGAAGAGAAGCCTAACCCAGAGTCACACTAAATTTTGTCTACCCTTTTAACATGTGGTCCCACCGTGACACCATCTATGTGACAGCCATAGGGGCGCTTACTTGGCCACCACAGTGTTTGAACTTTAAGGCCTGAAAAGCAGTGAGCTAACTGAACCTCTTTTCTTCTAAGGTTCCCTGCCTCGGGTTAATTTTTATAACATTGAAAAATGAAGGGACACACACACATATACATATAAACAACACCGGCAAAAGAAAATGGCACTTCTTGGATCTCAAATGAGATTAAACCTCTACCTAGACCTTGGACAGAGTATGAAAACAGCAGAGAGAAGTAGGCAACAGAAGTACCATTTGGCTCACATAGCAAGGAGACCGTCACAACTCCCTCAGCTTTGGCATACTGAACTTTCTGACCAGGACTATCTACGTGTATGCTTAGTCCCCTCTGGACCTTTGAAAGATATGTTTGCTATTTTCTTATGAACCTAACATATGCTGCTTAAGGAAAACTGGTGGGGGGGAGGGAGAATCCAAGGCTTAGAATGAGTTCTGGTGATCACTTTTAATTTATCTTTCATCATTAAAATGCGATCTGGGGTGCACATGTTCTACTAAGGGCAGAAACGAATGCTTCTCTGCTTTCGATTACCCACCACTCTAGGGTTTTCAGTTATCAGTACCAGCGAGATCGTTCCAAGGAATTTCATGGCCACGCTAATCCTGGCATCAAACACAGGCAATCTTCCCTAGCTTCAACAGGCATTCATGTCTTCCAGCAGTGTGATTCTAGACGACTTTGTGGTGAGAGTTAATTTAGTTTTCTCTAGGATTAGGCATGGTTCTTAAAAGTGCTTCTTAAATTAATCAAGCCTTAGAACCTTCTGCAGAATTTCCAGAGGAACGCTCTATGTGCATACCAAGTCATGAGATGAAGTCGGATACCTGTCCCAGACCAACAGTCTAGGAAAGGGTCCTCCAAGTGGAAGCAAGTGAGCAGAAGGCATAGTCAGATCTCCTGGAGGGGTATCTTTCAACATAATACAGCTGTAGGGGGGAGTGAGAAATTCAAGTATTTACAAGAAATAACTTCCTATTGTTAATCTCAACAACAGCTTAGTTGCTAGGGATTCATGAAAAAGACAGGGCAAAGTTTGATTAGGTCAGGATCATCTATGAATGTCCTTCTCTGACTTGGCACACGTCAGAGATTCCCGAGGGGGCATTCCCGAGTTCCCAGGTGGGGCTGGATGCTGGGGTCTGCAGACAACCCTTGTAGAATTGCTGGCCTCTAAGAATCCCAAAGGGCAGAGTTAGGGGATTTTGCTTGCTATGAAGAGAGGAAATGCATTGTGAAGACAGAGGCTCATCAAAATATAATATTCTTTTCATATAGAAGTTAAAATTACTGTATCTTCCCTGATTAGCTATGATTTAGAAACGTGGTATTTGTTCGCTGAGACACAAGCGTGAGACCTCTAATTAGCAGGTTTCGGGAAAGGCCACGGGAAGAGAAGATAAAGACATTAGATAGGCAAGTTTTCTGGTCACTGGATAGACAGATGCTATGAAAATAGGTTCAACCAACACGGGGGGATTCTGGGCTTTGCATCGTACAAGACACCTTGACAGATTTATAAGAAGCCTCCCCGAGACCTTTGGTGTTATCTCCAGTGGAAAGTAATTATTAATTCCAGCATCCTAAGTCCTAATTATAATAAAGGAGAATCTTCTGTTTCCCACATAGGCATACTCCTCTGCAAAGCTCACATAGATAAATGGTTGCAGGAGGCTCAGTTCTCAAAAACAGCTGAGATTCCTATTTCTTCACATGAACAACAAAAAATAAAACCTTCTACAAAGCACAATGTCATTCTTAGGAAAGAGCAAAGAACAGCCCCCCCCCACCCCCAACAGGGTCTTCATTGCTCTTTTTGGATAGAGGAGGGATCTGAAGCCACAGATCTTCAATTCTTCTCTGCGAGAGGGCTGCTGTGTTGGATGGACAATGGGACTGGTCCCCCTGGAACTGTTGCCTTCAGCTGCCCCACCACACAACACGGGTTCCAGAACATCACCATTGTTCAGTAACCTTTCTCATTCACCATACAGACCATTCTTTGGCCTAAACCATATGCCAGGTGCTGTATTAGGGACCTGAAACACAGCAACCATAAGAAGACTCTAGATCAGGAACTTAATAAATAGTAAACTGAAAATAAATTGTAGGGAGGGTAATTAAGAGCTCTGGGAGAGGATGCCAGTGCAGTTGAGGGTGGGTATGTGGGAGAATTGGAAAGATCTGAGGATGGTCATGACCTGGTTTAGCCACGCAGGACCTCACAAACCTCACCAATGTGTTAGCTTCTGTTAATATGATGGAGGTGTCTGGCAAAGTTTCTGTCACTTGGTGCCTAGGCACTTAGCTCAGCTTCTGTTTTTTGTATCTAGAGTCTCCATGGCTTTCCTTTGAGATTTCGCAGGTTCTGTGAGGCACGGATACGTGACAGTAAGTGCTGTGTGCCTACCTGACTTGGCTATGGCCCTAGTTTGTCCATCTTGCATGTGTCTAATTGATACCGTGAAGGGACTGTGCAGATGTGGTCCATGTCCACAGACAGCTGACCTTCAGGAAAGAGTATCTCCTACAGCCCGAGTGGGCCAGTCAGTGAAAGAGCAGAAATAATCAGGTTTCACTGGAGGAGGAGGAACTGTAGGCTAAAAATATAGCACTCCGCCACTGAAGGGTGGCATCCACTCCTGTCTGTGAATGTCCATGCTGCCAACCTTCCTTTCCAACTCCTTTCCTGCGAGGATGCACACTTGCGTGAGCCAGCTTCCTGGAAACTTCTCTTCTTCCCTCACCACACAGTGTAGTCTCACAGTCTACCTTCGTCTGGTCAATCCAGGACCCCATCAGCAGATTTTGCTCCAAGGCTTTCTAGAAATGTCCTAGGCATATTTTCTCACTAGTGTGTATTTCTGACATCATGCCCAGTAGGTGAAAGGATCCTGTCTTGGACTAGAGAAAAAGGTGACAAACAAAATGAACCACATCTGCTCAGTTTTTCTTGTTTTCTCCCTGCTTTGGCTATGGTCTATAACAAGTGTTATGAAGCCCGACACTTGCCTTCCTTCCTTACCACTCTATCCTAAGTACACACAGCAGTCCTTCCAAGGGTACTAACTCTTCCTTGTGGATGAC